ATATAAAAATACTTATTCAGTTATTTCTTATCATCCTTTTTTGTCATCTTATAAAATTGACCCGCTTCCCATATTTCTCTTCCAAATTAAATATTCTGCTCAAGCTTCTCTATCAAAGATATTTCAACTTGAATACAAGAACTGATCCTTAGTGATGGGTTAATGAAAATTGATTCTCACGAAATTTCACTTGGTTGTATGTTTCTTTATATATATGGAGAGAGAGAGAGAGAGAGAGCGAGAGAGGGGGGTGGTGGTGACTGGTGGTTAGTGATCGTGGGCTGTGGTGGCTGGGTGGGTAGGAGGCCTGCCCGTCGTCCCCAGTCTGAGTCTCCAAACCCAAAACCCCAGTATCCGCGAAGCCTCTAACCCCGAATCTAAACCCAACTCTTGAACAACCTCTGCGAACTTCCGAGCCACGTGCAGCACAGGCTCCTTTTCGCTTGAAAAGTCCGTGTATACCAAAGGTGACCCCGCACTCCCTTGAGCCAAACCAATGCAGGACAACTTGATGGACACGTCTTTAGGTCCAGCTCGAAAGAGCGAAAAGGGACCGCAGGGGCTTCGGTTCTGCAGGTTTGCGGTCATCGGTTAAAGGCCGTCTGACCTGCAGAAGAACGAATGCGTGCCTCTGCCAGCATGTGTGATCCGTGGCCGAAAGATTTGTTTAGAAATTGTAGCAATCTATTTCAGTAAGCTTCGATGCGAGACGAACATGCAGGAAGGGCCTTTCAGTGAGTGTCGGCAGCCTAGAGACCAACTGCAAAGTCTCTGAACCTACTGATGCAATTCTTCTTACTGTTATCCTCTCGGCCTTAAGAGTGGTCGGACTACCGACCTCAGCCCAGCCCGAAAGGGACACGAAACATTGAAAGGGATCTCGTGCTGACAGGGGCAGGCTGTGCACTGTAATCTATGGGCCCCACTCACCTCCAAATAGCGGTGCAGGAGATCGGGCCACAGCATGTCGCCGAGTGCTTTTGGTGGTGTCGGGATGTAGCATGACTGAGGAGCAATTGCGAGCACTTGCTTTGGGCGTCTGTGGCTGTACAGCGGTGCCGTTCCGGCTACTTTACAAGAGACAGTCCTCGATGTGAGGCGAAGAATGCAAAAGATATGAAGGGCCTTGTGCCCGCCGCAGAACTGTGGTGAAATAAACTACTGGTGGATCACTGAATGCTGATAGTTGCAAACGAAAGGGCTTGGGGACCAGGAAGGTGACTGTGGCTGTTGCCACAAAGCAATCAACCGCTCTCCTCGTCTTCAGAGTCATCGTCCACATCGCTGGCGTAGACATCCCACCTCAAAGCAGGGACGGCCTTGCCTGTCTTGTAGGTCTTCCCACTACTACAACTACTACTACTACTACTACTACTACTACTACTACTACTGCCCATGCTTCCGCTGTTCCTCCTCCGCATCATCATGGAGAAAGTCGTCGTCATCAGCAGCATCATCATCGCAGTCATGACAGTAATCGTAACGCGGTCGTATCAACGACAAAACTAACGATGTCAGTAATGACAGAATCACCAATGCTCATGATGATAGCGGGAATCGTGCCAATGATGATACTGCTTGCAATGATGAGAATAGCAGTCATGGTTCTAACTGGAATAGGTAGGTTAAGATAGCACTACCAATAATCAGAAGGAGCAGACAAGTGTCGGGCTACTTCTAGGACACCGAGCACGAGGAACGTGTTGCGCTGTGTTCGGTTCGGATATTGGGACCCCTTCGGACCAGAGTCTGTAGCGCTTCTGGAGACGCTTTTGCGACGATGTCGGCTTTTCTTCCTTCGTCCTATTGCTTTGCCGGATTTCTCTACAGTACGTCCAGGGAGGCCTTCCAATACGCGTTGCTGCGCTACCCTAGCATCCGGCCAAGCCACTTCTTCTCGTGAAGGTGCTCGAGCAGCAGGTCCTGCTCTATGGGAGAAGCAGCATGCATCTGAATACCGGGAGTGCTGAGCCTTGAGCCTGCCGTCGCACATCCAAAAAGCAGCACGACAGCGGGTCCTTTCGCGTGATCATTCCTCTGATCCGGCTCTGCTCGTCGAGGACGGGCAGGTGACGAAGCCTTGGTTACAGAATCACACAAGCGGGAGGCGTGCGCGGCCAATGCGGGTATGCGTGATCATTCGGTTGAATGTCCCGTCCACAAACCTTGAAGGATAGGCCTGCAAGTTTTTCAAAACCTGTGGCGAGGGTCTGTCACCTGCGGGGCCAAGTCGCCCAATCGAGCGGAAGATCGCGAAGCATCTCAGCACGGATGCCTGGCTGCAGACTTGAGAGCCTTTCGGCTTCCGCAACACAAGGTAAGCATCAGCAAAGGAAGATTTGACATCCGATGTCCAAGAGGAGAAGGGCAGCCACAATAGGAAGACCTACATCCTGCTGATAAGCTGGCGAACGTTGAGCAAGAACCTAGTATCATTCCTGTCCGACTGAAGTTGTACATTGCACTGCAGAGACCACGAGACAGTAGAGGAATGCGATAAGGGTTGGTTCGAATGTAGTCTTTATATGTTGAGGCACGGTGAGAAGTCGTCGACAATACCCAGCACTACCTCCTGAAGGCTCCCGAGGCCATCAGGGCAGATCATGTTCGTAAGTCACGGGGGTTGTTTCACTGCCTTCAAGGCTGGCGATTGAAAACAGGAACTGCAAAAGCACCTGTTCACATCCCCAGGCTCGAAAGAAGCCACGCCTTGTGTGGCACCGTGTATGCTGCCCGGTTCATGTACGGGATGAGGTTGACCTGTGCAACAGATTGAGGGGATTTCTGCACAAGGTCGGTGATGGGGCGTGTCTTTCTTAAAGATTCCGAAACCTAGCAATCTATGATAATCCGGCTTGGTACCGTAACGTAAACCGAGATATGTCTCGCCGGAGCAGTTTCAACTTATAGCCCGCCAGATCAGCCTGGTTACCTCGGCTGCAGTTGGGCAGTCTCAGAAAAAAGGGTCTCTCGATCTAAACACAAAGTACCGAGGAAGGGAGCCCCCCTACGTCAAGAACGTCAAGACACACGCGCAAATTCTGGAAATGTTCCAGCGAACTCGAGTATCATGGGGGTTCACTTGGATCATCCTCCCATCCACCAGGCAGTGCCTGCAGCATCCCGTCGCCCCAAAATGGCATACCGTCACAGAAGATCCCGTGGAAGTCTTGCCTCGATCCCCATGCTGCATCATGAACCTTGAAGATCCAGCTCTGACTCTCCCCCTCGCCCGAAAGACGTTCCTCCCAAGCCACAAGGGGGCCTGCTTGTCCAAGTCCTCTTCGGAGATCTGGTTTAAAATCCTGGATTCCGCAATGATACCAAGCAGGTAGAGAGATCTTTACTGGTCATCTTATTTTGGGCTTCTAGGGCCATATTGCTCAATCCTCGAGGCTACAGACGTGGTGTCCTGAAGCAAAAACGGCAGGACAGTGTAAGCATGGTCTCCGAGCACCAAAGAAGTCGTGTGCCCCTTAGCCCTGCAAGATGGCCGGGCGTCTCGTCAGGTGAAAGCTTGTACACCATCGGGTGCACGAGATCCTTCTGATCTCCGAAGGCGCCTCAAAGGGAACTGGGGAGATGGGATAAACGGCCTGTGCACTACACGATCTGGTACAATCCACGGCGATAGCCACCAGATTTCGCGGTTGAGTATCGAGCAGGATACTAGGTTTTAGGATTTTGTAGTGTCCTGTTCTAGCCATTTCCTCAGAGCATGTGACTTCAACACCGGTTCTGACACCGAAATCCACAACTCTAGCCCTCTGGCACGAGGCAAAATTTACAACAAACGTCTCCGACAGGCCAGCACTGTTCAAGCACCGACACACTGACCCCCAACTGCATCACAGGGTAGCTGAACACAACGTTCCAGGCAAGCCCGGGATCTCTGAGGGCTTGGCCCTGGCGATTGGCGTGAAAGTCAAACTTCTTGCCTGCAGAGATCTGAGGTTGCTGTCGGCGTCTAGCATCCACGGGATCTGCAAAGCTCTTATTTCTGGCGTTGCTCAGCTTGAACTCCTCGAAGACCTCTGTCAAACATAGCGCCCCGAGAAGCCTTAAGATATCTTCGCAGGTTGACTTTATTACGCCCTCTGACGACAACCCCCCCGTCCTCCCGCACCCCCTATCGAAAACCTATAAATGACAACAACTATAAAGACTCTCCAACACCCTTTCAACAAGACCCCTAAACCCTAAAACCCTAAGCACAAAGCCCACTCGAGGCCTCTCTCCAGGACGTGCAGGAGCTCGCTGCGCCGGATGAGGCCCAGGAAGACACCGGAGGGCCTCATGGCAGGGGAAGTGGTTCTCCAAGGCTCCCAAAGGGTCCTAAACGGGCTTGAAAATAATCTGCAAAAACTCGATCAGAGGGAATTATATGGTTTCTATACGGGCTTTATAATCGCTTTCACATGATCTTATGGTGCTTCATAACTTCTCCAAAGTTGCTTGCAATCTACAAGGGTTTGAAGGGGTTCCCTTGGGGTTATGCTTTGGATGTGTGTCGGTTATCCAATGTTTACATATAGTAGGGTGAAGAGCATCATCTTCGGGGTTTGAGCGTTGTGGGTCAACAGAAGTCAATAGGCTTGTGCATGAGGGCTAGTTGGGTTATGCTAGAGTCTCTCAGGTTATCCGAGGGCTGTGAGGGCAAAGAAGGCGTTGATTTCGGGACTTCCGGAGTTGTAAGCTTACGAGCGTAACTTGGGCTGACGCCAAGGGCCAGAACTGTAATGGGCAATGGGTTTCTGCTATAGCACAGGGCCTAATCACGGCCTGAGAAGAAGAGGAAACGAGGGATGGCCAAACATTGACAAGCTACGTATCGCGCCCGAGCCACTGAAACCATTAAGTGCGAATAACAGCCCACAAACAGGAAGCCAAGACAAGCCCAAATCAACCATCACAGGTGCTCCCGTGCATTGAAAATTTGCACTCAACAGATCCACAGGGTCCCCGACATGTCAATGATGGGAAAGCCGTGATGGTTGTGACTCTCGTCCTGGCGGGAAAGAACCGATGGCTTTATGCTCACAGGTTTCGGAGCGTTCCCGGAACCAACTAAGGAAGGCGGCGTGCTCCAGGTTTCGTTGGGTTTTGTTTTCTTGTGTCAGCACTCTCTCATCAGGGAAGCGGTGAAATCATTGGCAAGTGCTTTCCACGCTGAATGCAGTTCGTCCTGTAGCAATCCCACCAGCTGCTTGACGGGAGCGCAGGCTGGCAGAGTCTTGACTTCCTTGCGGCTTTCTCTTCTCTATGGACAATAGGTGATGTACAATAGAAGTGACGTACATATCATCGGTCCGATCATCGGTGGGGTTTCTGGCGACGGATGAACTCCATGCAGAGCTTAATTTTCCCAAGATCTTCTCAAAGAAAAGCAACAAAGCCCCTATGCAATGAGACTAGAAACGTCGTCACGAGACACTTCTTCTTGCAGTCGTGTCACCCGGGCCATGATATCCATGGCACGCAGGTCGAGAAGCTCCTGGTCGCAGCTTCTGAGGGCATTCATGTTAAGAGTTGGGACCTTCTTATAAGTTACGATACCAAACTTCTGAGGCCTTCATACGGTTAACTAGTAATGCAATACAGCTTAGCTGGAACATGTTCTGAACCCTAATCTCTTCGAGCCCTTTAAACTTGCCATAATCAAACTAAGCTTTGGGCAAGTTCAGCCCAGCTCATAGGAGGAAACCGGAAGGTGTGGGCGAACGCTGCGACACTCAACCATGAAAACATGAGAATTAAGGTCGCTGGCGACCTGATAGTAACCCTTAGTTTCCCGTCTAGTATCCGTTTGAGCAGGATGCACCGAGCAGTTCTGCAAGACTTCTGTCAAGTATCGGGGTTAATGCCTAGCATCAGACCTCTGCTCAGGCACACTGGCCGTTCGGAGTTTCCGTGGCAAGCATGGCTCCAGAAGCTTGACAGAGCAGGAATGTGGGCCTTGCCACCCATTGGCTCCAAAAGGGGCACATGCCTGAGTCGCTTGCCAGAAATCCGCATGTGTGGAAGAGAGCTTCACACCAACACCTAGGACTTATAATAACGTCAAGAACTCAACGGTGCTCGCAGGTTCGCATCGCAAAACCTTCCGATGCCGCGCTCGAAACACAGCTTCTGAGAAAAGGCAGCCAGCCGTAATACTGGGTTTCAAACTGCCGAACGCCTGAGGCTTGTCGGCAGCAAGATGCTAAGCACCTCCCCTGACCTAGCCGACTTGATCGGGCAAAGATGCTTCAACTCCAGGTGCAGGTCGTAAATCCCCTCGTTGAAGAGTTCTCGGTGGCCGAGGACCGAGGGGGGGATCGAGCTTGGTCCATCGTGTATTGTGGTTTGGCTTTAGGGTTTGGGCTTGTTTGGGCTTGAGGTTTCACGGCGTGGGGTTTTGTGGGTTGCCTCCACGTGACTCGAATGTGGCTCGACCCTGCGGATCGGATCCTTGCTGGCTAGTGGCACTGTCAAGGACAGCTTGCAGTGTTCAGGTTTGTCTAGACTTCCAGGTGTGCGGGAGGTCTGAAAGCTTCCCAGTAAACCACCAGACGCAGCATCTATTGAACCCAACCGCGGTGTGCAATGTCGGAATTCTTCTGCAAGCACTAAACCCCAAGCCCTATTCAGCACTGTGGGACATGATGGAAAGCGCGGCTGAATCACACGATGCTACTGCATACATCATACATAAATCATACCCTGTAAAGCCGGCTAGATCCGGTTCGTATACTTTGATAAATGGGCTGGTAGGAGTTTCCCTCTTTCACTATGCAAATACCCTGCACCATCGAAGCCGAGTCCTACCCGAACGCCGTTTCCAGCGTCCGAATCTTGAACTTGCCAACACTCCAAACCCATTGGAGACCTCGATCTTCGGGAAATGCACGGTCCCTGGGGTTTCGGTATCAAGCTTAAGTATTTAAGTCTCCATCCTGGCGTCGACCCACCCACTTTGCTAGCATTGTGGCGAGGAAGAGCGGCACGCCAAACTGATTGTTGATGGTGCACTCCATCACGATGACCTCAGACGGCTGCATGATAGGAGAAGCCTGCGGTTCAGGATGCTTTGGGGCCAGAGCACTGAGCTTCAACATGTCAACCAGTCCGTCGGTAGAAAGCTACGGGCCACAGTAATGGCAAGTGTTGCAACTGGCAAGTTGAGTAGCGGTTCACTCGAAAAGCGAGGTCGTGGTTGCCTCGATGTCATTGCATGAGGAGTGCGGAGTGCCACCCTGAATCTACATACACTCCTAGCGCTTTTGATGGCCTGCAACCTCCTGTGTCTTCTCTCTGCGAAATTCGGGCCATGATGCTAGTACCTACTCCTGGCAGGGGCTGAGGATACCTGCGGAAACGAGGCACTGCCGCAGAATTGTGAGAAGGTTCCCTCACCAGAAGATAAAACACTGCGATGGCCCCGACCATTCATAAGGTTAGCCTGAAAGCTCGGTGCGGAATTAGTCTTCACCTGTCTGCTTCAAGTCGCGGAGAGCGAGATCGTAATCCGCCCGAGGCCAGATAACGCAGCAGCAGAGCCAACGAAGGCGTACTTGTCGGCATCGCTCTGAGGTCAGGACAGGAGTTCTCTCAATTCCTCTCTGATTGTCCTCTCTGTGTGAACCCCGGGCCTCTGCCCTGCAAAACTTAAGCTATGCCGCTACGCGTTGGGATGCAGCAGCGCACTGAGGGAAGGGCCATGAAACACCCCCCATGCTACACATCTCATACGTCCAAGTCTGTCTTGTTCTAAGTTTGGGTCAGGAAAACAGCAGCTCGTGAGTCGAGTGGCCGTGGTCTCCATTTCACTTGCCTCCTCATTTCCAAAAGCCTCTAACTCTCCAGACACTGACACTCCCAGTGCCGGGCTGCGATGTGATGCAGCATTCCAGCATAGTAAAAGCCCATTCCCAGAAGCTTTCCCCAAGCAGCGCCCAGGTAAAGCCTTGGACATTTCAGCTTTGAACTCCGGGGTTTGGGCATGGGCATGTTCCGAAGCTCGGAGAGACATCAAGGAATAAGAATGCGACTGAATCCTACCAATCACGGAGGTCGCAGCAATCACGGTACGCAGAAGAGCAAATGAATTGTGGACAGTGAGCAGGATTTTGCAGGGTCCCTGACCAACCTGCAAGAGACCGTGTTAGAGGTGACTTTTGATGCCATACCGCAGCTATCCACAGTGCATCAGCAAGGCAACATCCAAACCAAAGGAACATCTGAATCTGTGCATGGAGGCCCAAAATCCCGGCAGGTCCCTCCGACTCCAGCACCGGCGACGAGTTCAGGCAAAGGAGCGAGGGTAGGAAGAGCCCGCTCGGAACGCCCGCGCCGTACCTTGGCTGTTTGGGCTCACGTCGGAGCCAACAACCTCACCCCGAAGGCGCGAAGACTGATTGCTGGTGAAAACAAGTTGCGTCCAGCAGGCGATGAAAAATTGCACCGTGCCTGGCATCTGTTATTGACAGTATGAGGACCCAAACTGAGCCAACTACAGCGCGTTCCGGGCAGTCGGCCCTGATGCATTCCAGCTTGCAGGAGATTGTGCAGATTGCGGCTCTTGGCTCATCATTTCCGATATTGAACACCTACCCCCCCAACGGTGATTCCATTGTTGAAGACATGCTGTCCGACTTGGTGCTCCAGGTCCACCAATCGCAAGACCTTGTAGCCCCAAGCCCTAGCAAAACTCCGAAGCCCATGCCCGTGAAGACGCCAGCAAGGATAGCCAGGATAGCCTAGAATGGCCATATCCGATACCATCATCTCCTGGCAGACTCGCAAGACGGCTTTAAAGTAGCTGCCAAGCGAGTCTTTACGGTCGGGAGGGAATCTACTGGTTTTGCAAAAACTGGCAGACTCATTCCAAAGGCTTAGAGCCCAGGATTCGGGGGGTTTAAGAGGTAGAATCACGGGTGGGCCCAGGGTCCTGGTGGAAGATGGCTTTGACGGCCTCTGCTTGATCAGACCACCTCCGCTTCAATGCAAGTGCATCATGTTGATTCATGTTGTGGGGAATTTGGGCCTCCATGGGCATGGGGTTGGCCTGCCTTCAGCCCACTAAGACCAACCTCGAAGTACTCCTGTCAAGTTTAGGCCAGGCCCACTGCCTTTTACACATGGCCGGGTCCCGCACCACAGCGTTTGCTTCACCGAGCCGAAGACATTGCCCACGCCATCCATCAGAACCACAGGCACAAGGAACTTGATGGTGGAGACGACCTCTAGGCTTCTCCGTCGATTTCGGATTTGGCAGGTTTGAGGGCTTCAGGTCTGCCCGCTGTTACGACTTGCCTGGAAGTGACCTCAACACTCAGCAGTGAGGATCAGCAACAGTTGCGAAAATCTTCCCCGATTGCTGCTATACATTGGAGATGCTGAATCAAGTAGGCTTCTAAGCGCCTTCTACTCTTTGATTCAGGAACTTAGGACTTGAAATTCCCAGTTCGCTTTTGTTGTGGGCCGCCGGGCTTCGGAAAAGTCGGTTGGCGTTGCAGAGCTTATCTATCGGGGGTGGATGTCCAGGCTTGATGTACACATTTTCACACTAATAGCCGAACAGCTAGAATCTAGAGAATTATGGGGCGGTCTCTTCGAATCGGGTTGTCGTCTTTGAGCAGTCTGAGGTGGCGGCAAAGGTGAGGACAAGGACTTCGAACCACCGTCGCCAGCCAGTGGGGCCAATGAACCTCATCCTCAGGGCAGGACTTGGGCTCGCTAGCAGTCCCACAGAGCGAGTTTGTCGAGCGTGCAATCGTAACAGGGTCAGGAATGGCGGCAATAGTTCCGGGAAGGTCCAAAAGCTACACATCTGTGTGGATTGGAGACTACAATGCATTCGACCGCCCTGTGCATTGCCAACATGTGAACTGACAAGCACCCAATGCTGCAATAAGGATGCGGTCTTTGCCCTCACCTCGATAACATCCTCTTAGAGACCCTAATACCCCAAACCCCATTCTGATAATGCAACAAAATGACTCCCAGAACTAAAACTTTCTTGCCCTGGCCCTCTCCCAAATTTCACCCCGGAAGCACCCGGCAGGCTCCAAATAAACTCGAGACTGGCAAAGCCCAGAAGCGCAGAAACCATGCTACCCAGTACGAGACTTCCGATTTAGGGAGTTAAAGGCAAGTTTTGGGGTTTTGCAGCAAGGGGCTTGCGGAGCTTCGGGTTTAGAGACTTGTGAACCAGGGGCTTGCAAAGTTTCGGTTGTAGGCAAGGGGCTTGCGGATTGTCGGGTTTAGGGAGGTTATGGCTTAAAGAATTGAAAGGTCACTGCCTGGGTAGTTTAGGGTTTAGGGAGTGCAAAGCTTCTAGCTTGTACGTGTAGGGTTTGTGGAGTCTACGGTTTATTGATCGAGGGGTATTGGGAGGTTAAGGCAAGGGGCTTGCGGAGTTTCGGCTTTAGGGAGTTGAGAACCAAGGGGCTTCTGGAGTTTCGGGTCTTTCGGATTTTCGGGCTTCGGGAGTTTTTTTTTTTTTTTAAGCGCCTCTTTTCCGACTGGCAGGTGCTTTGTCAGAAATCCCTAGCGGGAAGGCAAACTGGCTTCTTACGAGCCAAACTGCACTTTCCCTTGACACCGCTTAGCACGACTCAGTTGCCACCCTGGTCATCCGAAATCTCGTGTACCGTTCCCTTCTTGCGTGAAATCGTTCGTGTGGCGGGGGTTTCGACCTCCTCCATATCCGCTGCTTTTTGTGCCAGGAAAGCCACATAACAATGTTCCCCAACCAACTGGATTGCCTGATCATCCGAAATGACCCCTTGTTTCCAGTCCACATAAGCTGCAGAAATATCCTTATCCACCTCATGAGCCGGACGCTTGAGACCACGACCCTCTGTACCATCCGTCCTCTCCCTTGGATTTCCTTTTCCACCCGTATCCACGGAACCAGCTCCCGACGGCCTTCCACGGTCTGCACCTCCTTGTATCGGGTCTTCCACTTCTTCAACCACCATGGAAACTTGAAAGGGTCTGCCACGTGCCATGGGCAGTTCACAAGCCACCGCCGATGTACCACCAGCATGCTGAACTGTAAAACGAACCCTTTGCCGTCTTGGTCGATCAGACGGAGTCGAGAGGAGAACCCAATCCTCCCACGCCTGATACTGTGCTGCTTGATGGGCCCTGTAGAGCTCCTGGTCCTGTTCATTTTGCAGCTGTTCCTCCTGTTCCCTTCCCTCCTCCTGTGCTCTCATCCTCCACCAGTTGGTCCACATCAGGGCTGGATGAGATACCTTTCCATGATTCGGCGACGTTCACAGCTGAACAGGCCCGCCTGTTTGCGCATGAGCCGCAAAAAGCTGCCATCACGGAGGACGTGCGAGGGCGCGTCGCATCGCACAGACATGAATGTGACGTGTCTGGACAAACTCTGCGTCTTATCTTACCTTTGCTGCATTGGCGGCCAGCTGAACTCTCCTGGACCTTTTGGTCTTGCTCGGCGGGCTCTTCCCTTTGCCATCGGTGCATTCATCGGGGGATGGGGACTGTCCAGTGGTGCGCTGCTAGTCTGGCAGGCCAAAGAAAGGTTCCCGTATGTACAAGCATCCCGTTATATTTACATACTGGAACGTGATGCACAGTTCTGCCGTCGGCGCGAACCGACTCTCCCGGAAGATGTAGTGGAGGTTGCAAGAGAACCTGGCGTGCATGTTGCACAAGAACCTGCTTATGGTGGTTGCCGTAGGTCCGTGCTCGTGGTCGTGTTGGCTCATGGACAGGATGCTTGCCGTTGGTGAGATCGGGAGGCCTTGGTACTGGTTCGCGATCAGCCAAAGGCGAAAGTTCGGACAATAAGCCGTCGCGTGGTTGGAGTCGCGCTGCGGCCGCTGGCGGGGCGGATGCGAGAGCACTCGAATCCTGACCGGCCTGGTGAATCCGGGGCATCTCAGTGTCGTCGAAGATAGCGGGGCGAACCCTTCGACGGCCAGCAAGGTCACAATTGTATGCGTCCGTTGTGGACCCATTCCAATGCGACTCCAGCTCCAGTGAGTCCTCCAAAGCCGTGGTTGCCAGCTGCTCGACATGGGTGGTGGTACTTGTCCTGGTGCTGACCTGCATCCACATGCTCTCCTCTTCCTCGTCCACCGTGACCTCCACCTCCTGTGACAAATGTGGGTGGGTGTAAAGCATCTGGCAACACTCCACCCGCAACATCGCTGTAATCCTGAGCAGCCCGACCATTATGACCAAAAGGTCAGAGGTTGGTAGATCGCGTACCTCCGACAGGCGATCTTCATGGCCAGCTCGTGACAACGCCCTACCAATGTCCGTCTCCGCCGGGCTGCGCAGTCCCAACACGCGCAACCACCAAAGCGAAGCATCGTTGATGTCCATGGCGCGGTCGTTCGCCACTAGGTGGCGGTGCGATCGCCGTCCAAGCGGATTCAGCCTTCTGACCTCCTCCGTGCAGCGACCTGCCCCACGACGAGGTAATACTGGTCGGTCTTCTCCAGTCTCCGTAGTCCTCCTCGCTGTGTCATGGCGGCTCCTTTCACGTTCTCTGGCTTCCGCACGGTCACCATCGCTGGGGCGAGCACTCGGGCTTGCAGAGCCTGAGGAGCGCCTGCCTGCCTGCTTGGCTTTGGGCTTTGGTCTGGACCCTTCATGGTTCTCCATCAGACTTGTGGCATCACCCTGCCTACGTGGAGATCGCGAGCGGCTGCGTTCTCTGCCCGGTGTTGTGACGTGGGCTGCCCACTCTCGCCACACACGGCAGTCCGCCTCCGAAACAGTTTGGCTAGCCCTGCGATTCATAACTCCATCGCTTTCCCAGCCAGCCTCTGCTTCCATCACATCCACATAGTCATCCCACAACTCTTGTTCCATCCACACCAGAATATCCCTGTGATGCGGGGAGACCTCATCTGCTCTTTCAGCGTCGGCCTCTATCGGCAACCCTAGTTCAAGCAGATAATCCTCGAGCATGATGTCGTACCCTTCTTCATTTCTGTCCCATGACAGCATCTGGAGCACTGTAGCCAGCAATCCTGGTTCAGCCTGTGCTTCACACATATACTGTACCATCCTCCTGCCTAGCTCAAAGAAGGTCGGGGGCCTCGGCGGCGTGGTCGGGACCGTAGCCCCAAACACACTCTGAAGCATCACATAGTGCATCCCAACATGTATGAGCTGAGCATCCTCGGTCTCCTCTGCTGTATCAGGTACTCCTTCAGCCCTCTCTGTATTCCCTGGTTCTCCTTGCGGTGGGGTCACATAGGCCTCCAGTGTCAGGGGTGCCCAATGATCCAGCACGAACTGGGCCACCGTGGGTCCATGCACCCTCGTGATTTCCGAAAGCATAAGGGTTCCTGATCTCCATCCCTGCCACATGTTGTCAAATTCCGACTGGGACAAACCCCAAGCATCCAAGCCATGCGGTGCCGGGGGCGGGAGCGAGAAGCCCGTCGCCGTCGCGACTGGCGTGGGCACTTCAATCTCTTCCTCCACCATTGTCATCGTCAGGCTCAACTCAGCCCTACCAGTGCTGTTGAGTGGCACAGCAATGCTCGCCGAAGTCCTGGGGTTATCCGATGACCCCGAACTCATCTCAACTTGCACCATGCGTCTTTTGACCTTGGGCTCAGGTGAAGCCGGCCTTTCGTCCTCCTCGCTGTACTCCTCCGGCGGGGTGTCACTGGGCAGTGGCTTGGGGAACAGCATGATCACCGGTAGGCTAGTAGGGAGGGGTCTGCCCAAGTCCTCCAATGACCCCGGCTGACAGTCAATAAATTGACAGAGCTGTCTCCATACCTCATTCGTCCACTCATGTTCACGCGTGCCAGGCAGCAAACGACAAGCCTCGTCCTCCGACTCTCGCATTGCGACCAAGAGCGCTGTGACATCCGCCGGCCGCCCTCTGGCATGCCCAAGGAACTGGCCACGTTCCACGTCAGTGACCCTGTGTGACAGCCAGCGCAGGAGTTGTCCTGCCGCGGGGCCTCGTATTCCCTTTGGCATGTCCTCCAACCCTTGGGCCATCCGCTGGAGCAGCGAAAGCCATCCATTCTCAGTGTCCGTTATCCCACTGATATCTGTCTGCATCCACGAGATCTCTTCCTCTTCATCGTGCTTAGCGACTGGGGCCTCTCCTGTGCCTTCCCCGTAAGGCGTCGTCTTCTTTGCAAGAGAGTCCTCAAGGGCTTCCTCAACAAACCAGGCATCTGGTGTCGGGCGCCGCAGGCGCATAGGTTTCCTTTCATGTTCCGCCGGTATCCCTTGGGGAGCACCAGCAAGGGCACTCCACTCGGACAAAGTCCATCCTGTGAAGATCACGAATTGATACCACATCACAACGTGGTACATGTAGGCTCGCAACGGGCAAGATTAGGGCCAGCAAGCTGCAGCATCGTCAAGGCCCTTATTGTTGTAACCCTTTCATCCATACTTCAGCCCTCTGCTCCTCAAGCCCTTATGCAAGTCTGCCTTCCACTCGTCCATGGTAAATCCATATGTTTCAGCCACATGTCCCTGCACTGTGCCCATTGTACCCTGTTGTCTGCAACCTTCCTCCAAAAGGTACCCCCTGAAGCCCTATCCATGTCTTTCTCAAGGTTGGACAGCTTGGGGAAATGCCTTGGATGCTGTAATCGTGCTTCCTGGGGTTTCCGTTGTTCGGCTACCCACCATTCACGATCGCGGTACTTGTCAATGATGGAGGCTGCCCCCGGGTGTTCCCTCGCAAGTCCCCTAGCCCTGTGGCCTGCGAAGTTCCACCAGCGTTCCAACCAGCAGGTGGACCAGCGCCTTCCCAAGTGGGTCCAGATAACTTGCCTAGCCCCCCTGTGGGCCCGCTTCTGAAAAACCATCCATGTTTCCTCCGATCTTTTGGCAACCCTCATACTCCATAGGACAAGTTGTTGTTGCAGCGAGTTCAGCAGGGACATAGCACTGTTGTCTGGCATCAACGCCGCCAAGCACCAAAGGACAAGTCCCCCCACAACACGATCAAGGAGGCGGATTCGTCCTTTAAGGGGTGTACGGGCTCGGAACAAGTGCTTCAGGCTCCAGAATTTATCCTTAGCCCTCTGGACAAAGGGTGCAAGCTGCTCAGACGCATTCACTCCCACAAAGAAAGGGACTCCCATAACCTCGAACACTGGCACTTCAGGCACCGATATACCATCCACTGCAACTTGTTTGTTCCCCTGGAGGTAAGGCGAGAAGTAGACTTTGCTTTTATCGGGGTTTAGCCGCAGCCCTGCCTTTGCCAGTTCGGTCGACCACTCCTGCAATTTCCTGCCCAGTCCCATAGCACTTCTGTCCCATACACAACCGTCATCCATAAAGAGCAATTCCTGCACTGGTAACCCTGGAAAGAGGGGGCCTCGCTGTTCCCATCCATGGATTCTCTTAGTGTCTTCAAGGATCTGCTCAGCAAGCCAGCTGAAGATGGCAGGGCTTTCAACCGAGCCCTGACGAATCCCTCTATCCACCTGTATTCGCGACTGTCCCCACTCTGTCTGTAGTACCGCACTCGTTTCAGACAACATCGCATGCCAGCAACGGTATGTCGCATTATCCCCAATAGCCTCTTCCAATCGTTGAAGCAGAGCTGGACGATGTACAAGATCATACGCCTTATGTAGATCAATCTTTGCTATCGCCATACCAGCATGCCACTCAGTCTCAAGTTGAAAAATACGGCCCACCCCAAATAAGTATTCTGCCGATTGGCGTCCAACCGCTGAGCATTGGGACGGGCCTTTGGGTGCGAGCGAGCTCGCCGTACGTAGCATAAGTAGGCGGCAGAAGCATTTGGAGACACTGGACCCCAATGATAACGGGCGCAAACTTTTGGCTTGAACTGGGTGTTTTTCTTTCGGGATCACAAGCATCAAAGCCACTCCCCAGTCTTCCGGAATGTTAGCTGTTCGATAGACACCATTGAAAAAGGACAGCATCGCCTCTTTGCCCCCCGGGGTTTCCGACAGGCCCAAGAGCAGCTCATGGCTGGTGCCATCCGTGCCCACAGCTTTCCCACACTTGCCCTGGGCCAATGCCCACGTCAACTCCTCAAGTGTAAATTCTTCCAGGTCACCCGTCCATTGTGGTTTCGGCGGTATGACCCCTCCCGTGGTGTAAATCGCTTCAAGGTGTTCATGTATTACCACGTGAGGGCATCTGCCTTGTTGTGCCTCTGCAAATTCAGCATCCCACCCCCGATATCTTTCAGGTTTGAGCGCTCGGTATGCTTGCCACCACAGGCGTCTGTCATGCTTTCTCATGCGACGTGCCTCCGTCCAATCAGATGCCCGCCTGGTACTTCGTGCCTGCCGAAACGCCTGCTTCGTCTTGTCACTGTCCCTGTATGCCAGACTGGGTTTGGGTTTGGTACATTCCTTCGCTAGGCGAACAAAGTCCTCCTGCTGCAACGGTGAATCAACCCTCTGAATCCCTCCACACCAGACCCTAGGCTTCGTGGCAAATGGCCTTCCTGTTCTGACACCCGGAATACAGACCCTCAGCTCCAACAGCTCATGATCGGTTCCAATTGCATAGCAGGAGTCAACATGCACTTTAACTGACGACACCCTTGCCCTGGCTGCTGCAATTACATCAATCCGCTTCCCGGTTTTGCCTCCTTGTCTCGGTCGGCTCGTCGGGAGATGAATCTGATGTGATGGCGGTGCAATCGGGGAGAGGCCTCGAGCACATCCACTTGACAGGAACTGGAGAGCCTTACCATTAGACGCCGACGGACCCCACTCCCCTGGATCATCTTGGTTCCATCCAATCTGTGCATTGAGGTCACATCCTAGGAGAGCTGGCAAGGTCGTCGCCGGCAGACCCTTCAGATGATCCTCCACTTCTTGTGCATGAACCGCCTGTGTGCATCCTGGAGAAAAATGAGCCGTCCCAATCCAACACTCGAACCCTTCCACATGCCGTACCCTGAACCATGTACCCCTTGTTGTGCTTTTCCGACGCATCACGCGCCACCTCGTGGTGTTGTGAATCAGTCCTGTGCCTCTCCACACGTCCTCATGCCTATGAAGAGTGGCTGTCCATGTATCAAAGTGAGTTCGCTGCCAGCCGGGTTTTCCGCGAGCAACTTCCTGCACACAAATTAGAGCATCCCGAGAAATCCCATCCACCACATCTGACACTGATTGAGCATAATTCAAATCCGACGCTCCACCAGTATTCCAGCTGAACAGCGGGAAGGAAGTCCCCGAATTAACATCCCCGGTATGAGAGGGGCTCTCACACTGAATCTTTTTTCAGCGGCGCGTCGCCTCCAACCCTCTGCGCACTTCCTCCGCCGAAACACCAAGCTCCCGGGAGAGCCCACCAACGTGAATCCAGTGAGAGCTATGGTCCTCATCCCACTCGAGTTCCTGGTTGGCGATGCCTGGTGGATGCGGTGTCTTGGCACTCGCCACAAAGCTGTTGCCGACCCAGACACTACCTGTGGCATATTCCATGTCCAGACGACGACCGGCATCCACTCCACATACCTCAACCACCATGCGTTTGATCCAGGCAGCATGTCCACTGACAATCCTTTCAGCCTTGCTCTTAGCAAAGGTGGCGAAGAGTCTTTTACCCCCTGGCAGCTTCACCTCGTGCTCCGCCAGGGCTTTGACCACTGAGTGCATGCGCCTTTTGACCTCGTACTCCGTCTCTTGGCCTCGTACCGCGAACACACTCAGAGCCGTGCTCCGCCTCGGTCCGGTAGTAAAGGGGGGAAAATCAATCGCCTCCCACACACCCAGTGTATCCAGGCTTTTTTGGAGCTGATGGAGAATGTCGTCCCGTCTGCTGTCCCTCTGCCAACCCCCATACACCAGCGTGAAGCGCCTGTCAGGTCCTTGTGTAGTCGACGAACCCTCTGGTCGTTGCTGGAGCTGTTTGGTGATCTCCTCCAGGCGAGCTTCAACTGATTCCATCTTGCCTTCCATGCTGCCGATCCGGCTTTCTGCTGAAGCCATTCTCTTGCCCGTGAGCTCTTCCAGGGCCCCCATTCGAGCTTCAAGGTGCTCGTGCTGTGCTTTCATAATCTTCTGCCCTGTTTCCTCTAGCAAAGCAGCCAGTTGCCCCATCTCGACCTGGACCACCTGTTGTGGCTCTGTCGGGGACTTCTTCGAAACCCGGCCAGTCGCGGACCTCGTTTGTGTGGGGAGCTCGGTTCCGAAGGTATCGGCACATTGGCAGCATCCTGGAAGTCAATGACAGGCTCTCTGCCCCTATCCCTTTGGCGCGAACCCATCTCGCACCCAAGCCCTTCAGCACGACCCTGATCGCACCGAGGGACCCGACAAATAAGTACAGGACCCGCACACCTTCTCGAGCGCCCGGATAATCAGCTCGCACGGGTACAGCAGCCACCGGTAAGCCAAGGCCTTCCTAGCACACCACCCTCTCACCCCCTCAGGCAAGGGGGCCTACACACCAAGGGGATCTTGAGCCAAAATGGCTTGAGCCAAGGGAGTTTAGTGCTTAGGGTTTAGCGAGCTTGAGGCCCAAGGCTTAGGAGGTTTAGAGTTTGCGGAATTCAAGGCTCAGGGTTGAGTTTACGGCTCAAGGATTAGAGAGTTTAGGGAGTTTCGGGCCTAGGGATTTCAGGGCTTGGGGTTTACAGAGTTTCGGGATGTAGGAGTGGAGGTTTACGGATAAGGAGGTTGGGGCTTAGAGAGTTTCGGGTTTACGGCGCTTAGCTCTCAAGGCTCAGGGAGTTTAGGGTTTACGGAGTGTCGAGCCGAGGCATTTCGGGCTTAAGGAGTTTTCAGGCTTAGGGAGTTTAAGTTTATGGAGCTTCGGGTTTAGAGATTTTAGGCCTTGGGGTGTACAGAGTTCCGGGTTTAGTGTAGTGCAAGACTTAGGGTTTAGAGAACTTAAGGTATACGGAGTTACGAGTTTACGGACTAAGCAGTGTGCGATTTACGGGTGTCGGGTGTAAGAAGTGTAAAGTTAAAAGGGTTTATGGGGTTTAGGGTTTAGGGCTTCAGGGGCTCAGCGTTTATGGAGCATCGGGTTTAGGGATTTTAAGGGTTTAGGGTTTATGGAAGTCGCGCAGTGCAGATGTGGTTAGTTGAGCTGGCAAAGGCGCGGGGCGCGACTGTGTTACACGGGTTTCGTCCTGAATTTCGGCCTTACCTGCACAGTTGATGCTGCTGTTTCACCACAGAACAACATCAAAGTGGTATATATGCACACGTACTTAACCAATGTTTCGGGGGTTTGGAACTTATAGGGCTTTGGAATTCTTTTTCGACTGAGTTTAGGGCTTCGAGGTTTGGGAGCTTAGTGAGTAGAGTTTAAACTGCTGTACTGTGTAGGTATGATGGGTTACGGCGCTGGTCTCTGTGCTGTTCTGGGATTCTTTGGCTGAGAGTGGGTTCCAGGCTTTGTGTGGATTTGTGGTTCACCGCAGGAGCTGCTAGGCAGGGGAGGCCTGACTCTCGTGAGCTTCACGTTGAGCCAGTTGTACCTGCCAAGGCAAGAGGTGCGAAGAGTTCGAGCAGGAGGGTCATGCAACCAGTGTGCTTGAACACGGCAATGTAGCCATAGCTGCATGACTCTCTCTTGATGCAGCTTTGCTCATGCTCTGTCGAAAAGCCCGCAAACCCTGAACCTTCATCAGTAAGTAACACAATACCTAAGCCCGAAATCCCAAACGCTCATTCAAGCAAATGCTGGCAAGTCGCAGTGCCCCCATCAAGCCGCCGAGAATTCCGACTAAGGCAAACAAGGGAAGCTCCTCAGGAGACAATGCTACGGCGGATTTTGTCTCGTTCTTCTGAGGGCTTTGCTGTCTTTTCTAGTTGCTGATTGATTAATTACTTGCTTGCTGGCTTGATCGACTGACCGATTGATTGACAGATTCGTTTCGATGGATTGATTTTGATTTGTTGGTTTTGATTGGTTGACAAAGACTGATTGATTGATTGATTGATTGACTGATTGACTGACTGACTAACTGATTGATTGATTGGTTGGTTGGTTGATTGATTGATGGATGGATGGATGGATTGATTGATTGAATGATGTTGTATGGTTTATATGATGTTGAACGACTTTGAGTGAGTGGTTGATTGATTGACTGTTTGATTGACTGGTTGATTTTGATTGATTTTGGTTGAATTTGAATGAATGAATGATTGATTGATTGATTGATTGATGGACTGACGGATTGATTAATGGATTGATTGATTGACTGATGGAGGGACGGACGGATTGATTGAATCTTTAGGGGCTTGGGTTTACTGTGTACATCCGCGCACATGAAGGTAAACAAACAGTAACTCCCCAGTCCGCAACTCACACGCAACATGCCCTACCTCAAACCCAAGCACTGCGCCGCAGCCTCAACCCGATCTCCTCATGCAGAAAAACAAGTCGCAAGAAGGACGCTAGGCCTTGAGTTTGCTTTATAACCTACTTACTACCTCCCTTTGCCTCGAAGATTTCGTCTGTAACCAGAAACCCTCAAAACAAACATCCAGGTGCCATGGGCGGGTTTCAGACAAGTACTAGGGCCCCAAATCCTCAGCACGAAAACCCTGAAGCCCGGAATCCGAAACTAGAGTCCCTTCAGGTTCTGCAGCTAAGGGTCCCAAATGGAGTAGCGGAGGTCCGGCAGCGCACCGAACTCCAGGGGCACCGCCGAGCCCAGCATCCCCCAAAGACCCCTGGATTTGGAGAGGGCTTCGGTGAGGCGTGATTGCGTGATTTAGGATTTCGGGCTTGGGTCTCAAGAAGTATGTAAATTCGGAGTGAATTGGAGGATCGAGGTCGCAGTCGGCAGGGTTTATAGGGTTTAGGCTGATGGGCATTGTCGGGCATCACATTAGCCTGCGTCGAAGCCACCTCAATGGAGGCTCAAGGTCCCAATGACTCAAAGAATTCCTTGTCTCTCAGTCTCTCAGCTTCCAACGGAGGGCTGCTTAGGAAAGCACAACTTTATTAGCATCTTTTCTTCTATTCTACTTCGTGCCTACAATGCTCCGCTAGTTTCTGGAACTGAAACCCTTGCAGGCTTGATTCATGGGCCCTGATGCCGGAGCACGTGTCGAAGCCGGAGTGGAAGAATCGCACGACCAGGGCAGCGCAGGCAGCAGCAACAAAGGTTTTCAGCATGATGTCCACCTCAGCCAAAGGGAAAGATATGATATCAGGTAGTTGGAGTTTTCGCATTTTGACATCCTTCCCGGGTCTGAGTCTGAGGGCCTGCGACGGGGCTTCTTGCGCCAGGGTGCGCTCATGTGCGTGGCACCCTCCTCGATAGCAAAGAGGACCTGGATGCCAGCGGGCACAGTAACTCGCCTCTGTTGCAAAGCTCCAGGGTGTGGAGTCTAGAGGTTTATAGAGTTCTGAAACGATCCAGGGGCGGATCCGAGAGGCTGTGTGCAAGCACCGATGCTTTGCTTCAGCAGCTTTTGGAGCTTAGCTCAGGCTTGGGCCCAGGTTAAGATTCGAAGGATCGGTGAGGCCGGGAATGTGTTTTGGCATGGGTGGTTGTCAAAATTAGGATCCCTGTTTGGGTACCCAAAAGGGACCATAATTTTGACAACCACCCACATGGGACCGCGAATTAACGATGAAGGCAGTCAACCATCGATAGAAGCTGGAGCCCCAGCTGTGGCCCTCATCGTGGGATCTGGTTCGGGGCTACGGGTGCTGCGTTGCCCAGCGGCACCACCCACTGGGGCGCTGAAGGCGGCGGAGACGCCCGCTGCCGCACCAGCAGTCACAAGATCCCGCTGCTCCTCGGAAAGCAGGTGGAAGCTTGAACAGACTTCTTCGTCAGGTTGCTCCTTGTATTCTGTTCACGCTGCTGGCCAAGCGAACAGGAAGATCGAAACGCCTCAAGAGTAACGAGCAGAGCCCAGCAAATTTCGGAGTTGATCAGCCCGATAGGCTTATTATCCAAGCATCACATCCTTGAGCCCATGCAGCACGCGCAATGCTTCAATACTAGCACTTGTTGCAAACTGCTTCTTGAACTTTGTAAATAAGACGACGTAGCTATCTCGGGAGCTATCACTATACTCTATCAGTATCGGATATGAAAACACCAGCTTCTTTTCGGATGTGCTTTTGTGTCCGAGCCCAACGTGATATGAATGACAACTCGGAAAAGACCAGAGATCAGAACGATCAAAAAAAACTATGGGAGATATTCAGTCCTTGTCCATGTTTATCGGCCGCAGGCGGTTTGTCCAAAACACCCGAGAGGTCCTGAAAAGGCACACGATCTACTGTAGCCGGGAGTTTTTCCATCTTCGGCTGCTACAGGGAAAAACGGCTTTACAGTGTTTCAGGAAACAGACTTCAAGACACGCCTAGAGATGCTATATTGGTACTTGGTGGTTTAGGCTTGATTTTCCGTGAGGTTTCTTGTCGCATTTTGGGCGTCGGCTTGAACAGGTGGGTCGTTTACGTCCTGACGATTTGGGTCTTGTGATCTTCTCCCATTCGCGGCACGTTGCAAATAATGGGAGGGCTATTGTGGCTCGACACCCTGCTGCCGGAGTGGCATCGGAGTGTCAAGCCTTGCAACTCCCCCCAGAAAACCAATCCTACAGCGGCACTCCCAATCCACCCCAACCCCCGCAGGCCAGGCTCTTGCAACATAGGTCTTTTGCCAGGGCACAGCGAGCCGCAAATGGCGCCGCTGTGGATCATCGGCCCTTCCTTCAACGTCGTGACTTTGCAATCGCTACAAGCAGGAGCTTGTGTCCGCTCGAGCTCGGGAGCTTTCAACAGACGTACACCAAGCCATAATCCAATCCTAAAGGTGGCCATCTATGCTGGCTTAGAAGACACACTGCAGGGGCTTCGTAAATCCCGTCCCTACGGAGTTCTGAACAGTGCACCAGAAAGGGTTTCTGATTTAGGCGTCCTTCTTAGTCCTTCTTATAATCATGACCCATATGCGAAGTTGACCCCCGCCTTGCCGCAAGGCAGGCCGGCCCCCACGCTGAACATCACGCCGACCTCGGAGTTTGCCGGAAGGGGACTGTTTGGAAGCCCAAGTTATTCGTGTATTATAGGTAGTATAGAAAGTATAGAAATGTATAGTAGGACGTGTCTTGCTTTCCTTCTTCTCGTAACTTAAGCTGACGGCTGTAACAAGATGGCAGGGCAGTAGCCTGCTGCACGGGCAGCTAGGCTTCTAGGGCAATGTGGAAGTAGTGTTTGGATGAATCTCTTGAGGATGCCTGAGGTGGAGTGCTCCGGGCAAGCTTTTGGTAGCAAGAAGTATTCTCAGCGATGGGTTGCTCACGTCCTTCTGAGCATGATCTTCAAACAGGGCTCTCCAGAGGCTGCCGGTTTCAGGGTTTGCTCTCCTCAGGTTACGGCCCTCCCTAGCAAATGGCATGGCGAGAGGAGCCTGCACTCTGGATGCTGGCGTTCGCCGGTGCTGAGGCCCAGGCCGCTTTGGCCAGCAGGGTCTTCACATCCAGCATCCGGGGCATGTGAATACCTGAGTGTTGAAGGCTTGTACTGCGTGGCATTCAATGTGAACGACGCAGGATTTGGCACTTTGCCTCAAGCTGCAAACCCGAACCCAAACCTTTGAGCAACAGCCCCCAAGAGCGCGCAAAGATCTCGCCGCCGTAAACCAGTTTTGTCTGCCCTGCTCTCGGCCTTTGCGTCTCGCAAGACAAGGTTGGGTCTGGCCTCATTGAGCCGCAATGGAACCGATCTAAACACTTTCCACAAATCTTGGCTAAGCTCTACGATGCCTTAAGGCCGCTTCCAGCCGGAGGGGGAGCCTCAGAGCGCGTCCGTCGGCCAGCCGAACAAGGCCAAGGGGAAGTCGCCGTACATTCCTTGGAAGGCTGCAGCTGGAGCAAACCAACGCTATACAGCTGAGTGCACACTGCAAGGTTTCGTAAGATGGGAGGGTCCCCTATCAGTCAAAGCGCTAGAAGATCCCAACTTTGAGACCCCGGATGTTAACAAGCTCTCAAGTGGCCCAGGCTAGGAAGATGGTCCACTCTCGAAGGCTTTCGATACGCTGTCATGCTGTGCTCAAGTCTGAGTTTCAGAGATGACGGCTCTGATATGGCCTCTACATGGCAATGAGGATCCTTGCTGCAAGGGCCCTTCTGTTATGAAGCCCAGATGATGCCGGGTGTCGCATCTCCCCGTCACCGAGCTCGGGATTGAACAACACGCCTGTCGGTCCAAAAAAGCCATGAGTTTGAACTTGTGAAGCATCTAACTTGGGGCAGACAAGAAGACACGACCTTCAACCTTCAGCTGTGTCGCTTAAAAACCAAGCTGTCGACGACCTGCATCAGACCCTCAAGTCACTCCGAGCTTGAACAGGGTAGTTCCCTGTGGTCCCAACAGGCTGCAATCCCATCCAGCCTCGCCCGGGAAATGGGTAGCTCTTCATGTAGGCACCCACCTGCTCTTTAGCCCAAAAAGCAAACCTTCAACCGTCTAGGGATTGCTCGCTCCCTGCAGAACCGAACCGACACGCCTTCCAGGAAGTGCCCACTCTGAGGCTCTAAACCGCAAAGCCTAAGCCCTCAACACATTCAGAGTCTGCGCTAGCAGCTCTCAGAAAGTCGGACCGAGCTTTTTGGTGAAACCTACGACAACCAGCGAGCTCCACAATGTTCACTGGTGAGCCGACGAACAGCGCACGGTCCATCGTTCAGAGCTGGAGCTCGTGAGCAGCAGGTCTAATGCTCGCTGAATTTAAGTTTTCGAGCCCACAAGACGTCTCAAAAGTCACGGTAGCAGCCAGCCTTCGGGATTGCGCTCTCTTTGGAGGGGTTGCCGTTGTCAGCTCGATTTGCGGGATCTCCGAAGCTGTACCTGGGCGTGTGGTGAATGAAGTGCAGCATGGCAGAACGAACGAGTTTGAATGCTCCTGCTTACGCCATCAAGCTGAGCTAGGAAGGCCATGGAACCATTCCCGAAAGGCATTGCGTGCAGCCTCGTTCTTCTTTTGAAGGGACCTCAGGCCTGAACCCGATCCCAAGACAAACCAGCAAATCCGGGGAGCTGGTACTTGAGGTACACAGGCCCCGAGGCGATCTCGGACATGTCCAAGGGCCTGCAGCTTCAGAAAAGCAGGACCCCAGGAACTTTCGTCTAAGGACACCTAATAAGCATTGACACCCCAAGTCCCCGCCCGCGCCCCAAATGAAGAATCATAGACCTGAAACCCAAACCAAACACCGAAAAACCAGCCCTGATCCCAGGGCCCTTGACCCGAAACCTGTGGCACACACAGCCAGTGAAGCCGTCAGAGCCATCAGGTCATTGAGGAGACGAGCTGCGAGTTTTCGTCGTCCACCGCCATCACTCCATCGGCCGGGCTATCGAGCTCCAGGCCTGAACAAGAAGGGCCCTGGACAAGGGCTGTAAACGTGCTTGAGGGACAACAGATACGATAGGCTTTTATGAGGCTGTCATTTCATCTCGCGATTTTGTGCTTCCCATTGGTTTCATGGGCTTTGGAGGTTGTTGTATGATGTTGTTGTTGGGTGTTGCGTACTGACTCGACCAGTAGGATCACGGACAGGCTCAAGTTGCCTTTCGCATATCGCGGTCTGCAAGCTCCTTGGCATGCCGACTCCAAATCATGACCCCCGATTTCTACAGAGTTTGTGAACTTCTGTGCAGGTATGGTGATCATACTCAGAAACATTCGTCATGCCAAGCTGCCACACTTGAACCCATTTTCCATTCAAGCACACGTCTGAAAAGTCAACAGCAAGCGTGAAATGCGCTCGCCTTCCACCCAGTTCTGCATGGCGGTCAGCGCAGCCTCGATCAAAGATGCTGCTCGGGTGTCGCTTCTTGTCTGCGGTGTGCTGTGCTTGCCGGACTTTCAGCTGACCTCGTAAGACTAGCTAAAGCACCGTCCTTCAGATCCGACGAGTGTGCAGTACATGGGTTTCGATGCGTTGAGCCGTTCCCTGCCTCGCTCTGGGCCCCCGGCCTCCCCCGAGGGGGCCATGATGCCCAGCCTCAAGCTCTGCATGCTCTTGGACTTCGCCAGCGTCTGTATCGCAGACCTTTCTTCCAGTTTCAGGTCGCGAATACTTCGACTGCAGCTACAGCTTATGCCAACTCAGCATCTGGAATTCACTGGGAATTGTGCTGAACTGTCGGCTTGGCAAACATGGGGCTGCCTGCACCTGAACTCGTGCTTCGTGATTGGAGGCTGGACCTGAAGCCCTCGAAGCAGCATACAGTAAAATGTAAAACCTCCAAGGTCTGCAAAACGTACAAGCTTTACAGAACCCTGCAAAGCCCAAGCAAGAAAACTGAAAACACCATAAAGCCCTCGGAACACCCTTCCTTATGAAGCTACGACACCTTGCATCTGTACTTGAACTGTACGAGAAGCCCTAACGGTAAGCTCTTGAAACCCGCAACTCGTATCAAATGCCTGGCCCTGGAAGTCACGCTGTCAAGCCTAAATGCCCTTTACACCCTGATAGACAGTACCGAAATCCTAAATCCCAACAAACCATGACTGTCAACATCTTCCAACCTCCCATAAGGCCTTACGTAACAACCCGTTCCAGCCGCCCAAACCATACCCTATACCCTCAATCACCCCCCGGCCCCCCCACCCGCCACCTCAAAAACCCAAGAAAGCAGAAAACACCCAAACTCCCCGCCTCAGCTCCTCGGCCTCGCTAATGTCTTTTGGAGGCGTCAGCCCTGCCGGGGCCGCGCCCGCCTTCTTCTGGGCCATCTCCTGCCTCGCGGCTTTTTTTGGAATTCACAAGGTGGTTCATAGGGCTCGTCTGTGTAGAATTTTGGAGGCTGCAGGGTTCTGTGTTGAGCATGCAGGGCTGTGGGAGTTTAGAGCTTGAGAGGTTTGGGGCTTAGAGTTTTTTTTGCTTGTAGGGCCTCGGGATTTGGGCTTAGTTCTTGTGGCGGCCTGTGCCTTTGCTTTCAGTGGCTCCTGCCTCTGTGTTTCAAGCCCTCCACAATTCGCCCCAAGAGCGCAGTCCTCTCCCATCCTGCCAGGAACTCCGAAGCCAGCTCGACGGGCGGCGCCGCCCGGCGCGGTACGAGCCGGGCTCGGGGCGCCTTCGCTATCTTAGAGCTTACGTTCTTCTATGGGTGCGGATTTGGGATTTAAGTGTTTAGGGGGCTTCTGTTTCGAAATGTATAAACAGAGGCTTTTTGCAATGTTAGCTTCTTCTAGGATTTCGAAACATTTATACGACCATTTGCCTGGAGTTTGCTTTTTTGCACAGAAAATAACTTTCGGCTTGCGGGGGTTGGGGTTTAAGGCTTTGGATGTGTGTCGCGCTTTTTGGTTGCATATCCTGCCCTGGCCTAGGATTCCATTCCTGCGAGCGGTTTATCGGACTGAGGCTGCTCCAACGTAACTGGGGTCAAGGTTCGACTTTTGTCGAGACAGTGACGGTGACAAGAACTTGGCCCAGGAACGCAGACTTCAATCATGAAGCGAGGCTGGCCTCACTGCGAAATTCTTTTCAAACCTGTCGCCAGCAGCAAGACTCGAACCGCAGAACAAGCCGGCACTAATATGCTCGAGTCAGGTGATTAGTTGTATTGTATGACTTTCAAACGTTCAAAGCCGCCAGCCTCGATGTGACCAGGGCCAAGAAAGCAATGTTGCACTAGTGAGAGGGCTGCTAAGGCCAAAAGCAGCTGGCGCAGCTGCATGGCGGCGAAGCACTAAGACCAAGTTCTAGATCGCTGCTCGGACAGGACAACCCTACGAGTAGCAACGGCGAAACCCTAAATTTAAAGCCTTAAGCCTTCCCAAGCCAGGGCGGTGCTTTGGCTTGTTTGCGGGGTTGGGAGTGGAGGGCTCAGGGCTTGATGTTTGAAGGTTACAGAAGCGTGTAGCGTGCAGCTTCAGCTGTCTGTGATGCCGTAGCGCCGTAGCGTATAGCTATCAAACGGCTCTCGCATGGCACATGCAACACAGCTTGCGCATCCAACTGCTGCAGACAGGAAGCCAAGGCTTTGAGGCCGTGCGGCGGAAAGCCCCAGGCCCCCGAGCATCAGTAGAACTGTGATCCGGACCCGGCACCTATAGAGGACATCTGCATTCCCACCCACCTCTCCCAAGCAACCGGCAAGGACAACCAGAAAACCCAGAGCCCTCTTTGAAGAATTGCCCCGGCGGGCCAAAGGTAACTGGGTTTTCGCCAGGCCGCCGTTCAGGAAAGACTTGATCTCGGGGATTCCAGATCCGGCAGCCAAGGGCTCCACGAAACAAACGCAGAAGCCTCTTCAAGGCCCGGCGGCAGGAGGCTACAGGGTGTCCTAAATCGCAGATCAAAGACCTGTCCCCTGGCAAGTTCCTGTGAGGCGGCTTCAGGGCAAATCCGGGTGCCCTCACATCAAACGACGGTCAACTCTGCAGGCCCTGCACTGAGGCGCTTGTGCTGCAAGAAGAATCTATTTCTCGAAGAAAATCTGGCGCTGCACGTGCACCCCAGGAAGACCGTTGCACCTGCCACGCTGGCCAGCACCATGCGAAATGCCAAGAAGACGAAATACCTGGGCACACAAAAGGATGCAGCTGGACCTTCAAGCCTCTCAGCTCTGCTGAATTTTGCGGTTGCTGGCGGTGCTCCCAGCATTGCAAGCTGCTAGCTGCTAGCACGCCTCAAACCGTCGGCTGAATCCTTCGCCCCTCGACCTTCCAAGCGAACCTGCACAAGCTTTGGTGGTACACGCGCGACCCTCCGTCCGGTGTTGGCCGAGGGGCGTGGAGGCCCAGTGATCGCTGGCCTTGATGCTGGATTTCCTGATTTGCCCATAAGAGACTCACCAAGTCAGTAGAAAGCGCAGTCCTATACAACTCACCAAATCCCAGTAAGAAGTCTACCCGAGCCCTACTTGATCCAGCTTTCTTCCTTGGAGGTGCATAACTGACCTGCTCGACCCCTTCTGATGTGGCACGCAGGACAGTACACTCTGCACAACACGTATGAAGCCTTCAACGCCTGCTCTGTTGTGGTAGGGCGTCTGCAAACCCCTGGTAAAGCCCGTGACAGAAGCCCTGTTTCGGAGCGCCTGGCTGCCTTATAAATTAGGTTTCTCGTCCCGGCGTCAGAAGGAAGAACTCCAGCTTCTGGAAATAGCCCAGGCCGAGGTCGATCATCGAGGCAACGAAGCCTGTGGTGCAGCAGGAACGTTGGTACAGATGACTAAGTAATCCCTGGAAATACATAAACAAATACAGTAGCATGAGACAATGCACACACATAACATACGTACACATCTCTTTGTTTATCTTTTAAAAACATAAACTGAGATCAGCATGAACACTGATGCAAATGTCACTGCCAAGTTAAACGTCAACAAGATAGATACACACAGACACGCAGACAGACACAGACACAGACACACAGACACACAGACACAGACACACAGACACACACAGACACACACAGACACACACAGACACACACAGACACACACAGACACACACAGACACACACAGACACACACAGACACACACACCAGACACACACAGACACACACACCAGACACACACAGACACACACACCAGACACACACAGACACACACACACACACACACACACACACACACACACACACACACACACACACACACACACACACACACACACACACACACACACTTGAACACCCAGTCTCGCTGGTTGCATGTTCACTCATGGTCAATTCCGACTCATCAGCGAGTTCAATGACTCCGATGAGAGAACTTCAAAGAAATCGTTGCCGGTGGGGCTTCAATAGGCTCTGGTTTCCTTGCTGATGTTTACTAAAGAAGAAACAGCCAAGGGTCCTGAAGCATTGCACAGCGAGTATGTGAAGAATGTAGCATTGCACGGCTTGTACTGCAAAGGATGTCACAAACACACTGGCAGGTACGTGGATTGAGCGTCCTCAATCCATTTCACGACAAACTGGAAAGGTCTTCGTTGGACAGTGCCTTCCAGAATGTCCACTGTCCCCCTGCACGATCACTCTCTAGGTCTCAACCTGCAATTCTCACCTGCACTGTCCCGTAGTAGTTTGGGTTCCCCACACACACTGACCTCCGTTGGAGGGGCTGCGGACTCTTCTTTTTCATCGCTGCTGCCGTACTTCTTGGTCTGAAATCGTACGCACAAAGAGCACGGGCTTCAGGGTTGCCATGGATGTAACCGGGTCCCAGTCATGTAGTCGTCGGCGGTTTTGCTCGAAAAAGAACGCTGCAATCTCTGGTACTCTGCCGGTGATCTCTTTGATGCGGTAGGAAAAGATTTTCCGTGCTTGCAGTATGGTATCTCCAAGACAAAGCACCACGTGTAGGAACATATGTTTTTCTCTGGAGATTCGGTCAGGTGGAATTTCCACTGTCATTCGAAAGCATTGAGCCCGCGTAGAGTACCATGGAAGTCCAGCTTCTCCAGCTTTCCGCTTTGGCATGGCTGGCGTTACTACTAAGAAGTCTTAACTTACGGAACCAAAACGCAGAAAGGAAAGAAAAGTGATCGCTCATGCATGCCGAATAAGTGACTGAGTACTGCTTGTTGCTCGCTCATCTTTTTCTCGAACTCTGATCTGCTGCACATTTTAGTCTGTGTCATGGATCCAACATAGATGTCGTCCCTGTCGCTGATGATGTTCTTCGGAACTTTGCGAAAGCGATGTGTGGGAGCAGTACATGATGGCGAGCTCGGGGTTGCTGCGATGTTCTACTTCGCATTGTTGACAATTGCATGTGCAGTTGACGCCACCGAACATGTACCGTGACTCTCGCGCCACTTTCCTGATGACAAACTCCGCGAGCTCTAACAATTGCACCATACTGAGTTGATTGACGATGCTGTACAAGGTCTCGAGCTGCGAAGGGCCTGCTTGACGTGGTCCTTCATCTAGGCGCTCTCCATCCCATGCGCGTCTCCCCCGGCGCATTTGTCGAGGTAGCGGACGGTGGGTCAAATGCTCTTGCTTGAGATAAGTGGCTTACTACGCTCAAGGAATCAACACAAACTTGCCAGGGCACAGTGCAAACCTTAGTTGTAAGCACACAAAACGCAAACTTTTCTTGCTCACTTGGTCTAGCTGCATGCGTCTGCTCTTTAATCCGTGTGGAACCAGCAAAGATGTCGTCCATGCCATATGTGATTTTCTTCCGAACTCCGCGAGTATGACGTGTGAGCACATGTTTGGACGACGTAGCTGGGGTTGCAATAGCTGGCGGCTTCGCATTGCTGGCATGGAATGCAGCACCGAACTCCACCAAACATGAATCTGGTTGCGTTCCTCAATCTGCGCGCCACATACTCTGCCAACTCCAGCAGTTGTGAAATGCTGAGCTGGTTAACCACCTGGTACATGTTGTTGAGCTGGGCTGTCGGCACATCTGCGTGGTGTTCAGCTTCGTCTGAGTAGCGCGCATCCCGGTCACGGAGCATTGCCGCTGTCACTGATTAAATACTGAAAGTAGGAGGGCTTAATGAGCTTGAGACACGGTAATCCAAAGCAGCCAAGGCACAATCCTAAAGGCTTAAGAGACAAGGGACCGCCTAAATTCGCAAAGCGTTGTGGAAACTTCTCTGTTTTCTGCATTCTCGTCCTGCTTCTGGCACCGAATTGTGTCCACAGCGTTGTGCTGAATTGAATTATGGGAGGTTGAAGCCAAGCATGCGAAGGTAGCGTTTGTCTTCTCTGCAAATGTCCTCGATGCGGTTGGTGGTGTAGGCCGAGATGATCAGGCGATCTGATTTCCATGGGCACGTGCCATGGAGCTTGAATGGACTGAACTCGATTCCGGGTAGTTTGACTTCAAGGTTGTGACCGCGATGTTGTCCATTTGGGGATAGGTCAGGTCCGTCGTCTTCTTCAACCCATAGGTGTCCTTGTCGGAAAGTCGAGACTGGAATCACAATGTTGAGGCTTCCTGGCTTGTTGTACTTGTCTCGGTGCGTACGCATGTGCACATTGCGGAGTAACGATACAGTCGAGAATGTAGTGTGGGTGCATGCTCGTACCAGGTAGGCCATGAGTGCTGCCGTCCACGGTCTTTGCCTCGTGTTTGTGCGTACTCCGGTGCTGCCGGCATGGTAGAAAGCGCCGACTGTATATGCCGTTGTTCTTCTGCCTGCTTTGGTAAGTGCTGAAGCTCGGAGGAATTCGGAGTTCTCGAAGGGGATGTATCTTTGTTGGAGGAGTAGTTGGCATTCTTGCTCGACTGGATCATCTTTTGCTGTTGAACTTTCGGGCGCACTCATGTCCAGTGGTAGTCCATGTGGTAATCTGACGATGTATTCTGCGGCCTCGGAGTCGGTATCGATGTCGGTGAGCTCTGCGGCGCTTGTGGCTCCATTGATACGTTGCTTTTTAGTCATATTAACCCTAAGTCGTACCAACGCAAGGCTTGAACCAAAAAACTGAAGAAAAGTGTTGAAAGGGCAGAAAGAAACGAACAAAAGGCTAAGACGTTGCACTTGCTACTGCCTACCGGTCTCTGGCTCTGTTGAGTTTTCAAAAGGCGCGCATACCCTAAGTCACTGTAGAGGTCGTCCAGTTCTTGAATTTGTCTCTGGGCTACATCTTCCGGGTAGGCAATGGTGCGGATGAGATGCTTTCTGCTGTGATATCCGCTGAGGCGTAACTTTGTAGTTCCGGCTGACTGAGGGAGTCTGTATCTCCAAGGCTCGCGGTGGAGATTGTACGTGATTTTGCGATTGTCTGCGTGAATGCGAAATCCCAGAAAATCGTCACACGCTTCGTCTTCAAGTTGTACTGGTTTCTTGTAGAAGTGCAGGGACGCAAGCTGCTGAATGAAGGGGTTGTGCTGAAGTTCGTCTTCATCAACAATAATGGCTCTGTTGTCGACGTACCTGCGGATCCAGAACTTGTCGTGGAGGTGGGCGCTGCTGACAAATTGGCCGTACATCCGCAGCCATGTGATTTCTGTCGCCACGATTGCGCACGTGGAGAGGATGGGGCTGATTTGGTTTCCCATCGACCTGCCGCATGTCTGTTGGAAGACTTCGCCAATGGCTGTGAAAGCACACGCGTCGAAGCTGAACTGAATGATGGCTGGTATGTGCTCTGCCTGCATCTTGACCATGTTGGACTTCAGGCTGTGCGTTGAGCGGCCTGAATGCGCTGGTGCGATCTTGTTGTACGGATCGACGGTGATGGTGGCGTTATGCTCGTCAAGGAACTGAGATGTGAGGAATTGGATGCTCTGCAGGATGTCGGATTGTGGTATCGAATTAAAGAAGCCGACCAGATCGTGGTTGAGAAATTTCAAGTGCCTCTCCGGGTACAGGTGCTCGTTGTTGTAGAAGAGTTGGTGTATTTCCTCCCATAGTTGTGGCGAGCTGACGTCGCCAAAATGGTTGGGCCATGTTATCCTCAACATCTGGTGTAATGCTAGCGCCGCGATCTTCAGCAGTTTGCCGATGCACGTATTGCTATACGCGATAATAGTCCTCCCTTTCGCCCACCTCTTTTTCCGTTTCATGAGGATATATCCATACGGAAGAGGCTTTGCGTAGTCAAGGAGCTTGGCATAGTGCTTGGCGACGATCTTGGGGGTGTTGTTTTTCATGGCCTGCTTGATCTCGGCTGGGTCGGCATCTAGCATTCTGAATGTTTGTTTGTCCATCCAAGTGTTGTAGGCTGCTTGGTTGTAGATGTTCGGGCAGTAGATCATGAGGTGCGCGTTGGCGTGGTCCTCGTTGTGCACAATGTAGTCATCAGGGATCATGCCCAATATGTTCTTTGCTAATCTGTGCGTGAGTCGTGGCTCTCGTTGAAGTTGTAGTCTGTGTTGCTTCCACTCCTGCTCAAAGAAGTCGTCAAAGTCGTCGAGGATGCGTTGATCTCGAGGAAATTGGTGGTGCTTGAGCCATCGCTGAAATTGTTCTTGGTGCTGCTTCTTGATACGCTTCTTGGGGGAGTAGAAGGCGTTCCCGGCCCCAATGTTCTGAAAGATCTGGTTTGTGCTGTGTAGTTGTAAGGTTTCTAAGCCCGTCACCACATGTCCTTCGTGTACTTGTGCTCGCGGATGTTGCTTGATGAATTGGGCACACTGACATTCTGTAGGCTTCCAGTGTCTGCCCATATCGGTGACTTTCCGCTTGTGGTTCCACAGAGCGCGCTCGAGAGAGGGGTGCGTTGCCTCCTGGACCGTCTTGGTTGGTAGATGATATGGTATAAGCACATGTCTGTGTGTCCTGCTGAGACGTACCAGGTACTTTTCGAGGTTGGTGCGGTGCGACGTATGTGCAAGTAGAGAGACTTTCAGGGGCTTGTTGTGCTTTGGGATCGATGCGTTCTTGAACTGCAGGACTTTTCGTAGTCTGGCTCGTGCTTTTGATCTCCATGGTTGCTCCATGTGGTTGGCGAGTCTGTAGAGCAGGGTAACTGTTTCGGAGTCATGTTTTCCACTGCGTAGCTCCTTGGAGGCCTCAAATTCTTGCTTGGTGTCGCTTGAGATAGCGTACAAGAGCTTCCAGAATTGCGCCTGCTTGGGGAGCGCATTGACAAGCGAGGATCTCTGTCCTTGTACTCTTCGTCGGAGTTTTTTGAAAAGTTGTCTTCCTAGAGAATCTGGTGGGTGGCGAAGATGTGGTTGTTGATGTTTTGGGACCAATCCATGCGCCTTCTTGACCAGCTCCTTCGTGACAAAAGGGTAGTTCAGCTTGGGCTGCCATCTCTGAATCAGGCTGTGTTCTTCGGCCCAGGCGTCAATATACTCCGAGTGCTGCGAAAGGAGGATGGTGCTGTAGTGCTGGTAGGTCTGGGAATCGTTCCAATAACGAATGGCGATCTCGGTTTTGGGAAGTTTTAGTTGTTGTAGTTGACGAAGTTTTGCGACTCTGTTGTACTCTCTCTTGGCCACCGTGATGTTGGTGGATCCGATGTAGCAAAATGATGCGTCCCTGGTAGCAGTCGCATAGGTTTGCTTGTTGAGCCTGGGGAATGCAAGTTTGACGTACACTGCACAGGGCTGAGAGAATTTCTCGAACGTGTAGAGTTCTGGAACCGCACCTTTTTCTCGGAGTCGCTCTTTTTGTTGCTCTGCTGCAGGCGATTGCCGCATTCTATGAAAAGTGAATACAAGATGAATAAGTCCAACTAACCACATCAAAACTTCTTTATTAATAGCAGGAACATGAAAAATCAAAAACTGCCCCCAGTCTACTATCTGTTGCAGCTGCTGGAAGATGCTGGCACTTTCTTGATGTGCTAGGGGTCCTCTCAGGATTTTCTGCACGTGTCACACGGCGAGGTAGGTGACGGCGGCGATCAGCTGCTGAAGGTTTTTGGGTGACGCCTTTGGCGCTGTAGTGAGAGACATGGGAAGTCCCCATCTCGTAGCCATCTCCTGTAGTTCTGCCTTGGTGTATTTGGCGCCTTCGAGGATGGTCTGCACGGACTGTATGTGATTATCCACTTCCGCATGCTTGTCTCTGGGGAGACTCTTCTTGAGGTTGGTGATCCAAGTTGCAATTGATGTCATACTTGTCGGAGGCTCTTGTCCACTGGCACGGATCACATTGTGGGGCTCGGCGAGGATGTCCTCATTGCGCTGCTTGATGGCTCCCTTTGTGAGACGTCTGCGCTTTGGTGGTGCCGCCGTTGCTTCTGGGCCTTCATTTGGCTCATTTTGCAGTGGAAGGGACTTTTGGGGGGTGACGTCGATGCCGGCACTGCGTAGGCGTTGTTTGTACTTGGCGGTCTGCTCTTCCAAGGCTTGCATGCGTTGTGCTGCTTGGTTGTCGCCCTCGGTGTTTTTGGCGCCGTAGTTGCGCACCTGCGCCCAAGGTTTGATGGCATCCATGATGGTGTCGACGAGGGGTGCAACAAAGGTGATGGCCTCTTTCACCTTGTCAGGGGCTTTTTGTCCTTTGCTTTGGTGGATGGCGTCGATGGTGGCATCCACGTCAATGTTGTTCTCGCGGAGCTTCTTCTGGAGCTGGGAGAGGAGGACACTCTCGGCGATGTTGCGGGTCAGAATCATGCTGGTGAACTTGCCGTGGGAAAGTCCTCGAAGTCCAAATTCCTCCATGCCATGCCTGCAAAGATGTGCAACTGTGACATCACGGACGTCCATGCCTGCAAGTCCTTTGGCACGGCTCCAAGCTGTTGGCTCTATTGTCCTCTTCAAGGTTGCTTTGAATACAAGGTTCGTATCATAGTGGTCTGGGTCCTCTGAAAACTGACTGGGAAGTGGTACCCGTGCCGTGGTTGCCGATGTCGTCGGTGTACTTGTTGCATTGGCTGGCTCCGGCTGTGTGTTACACGGTGGAGGCGGCGGCGGCAAAGGTTGTGTAGCCGGGCTGGATGCGGGCGGAGGCATAGGTGGCCACGACGGCAGCGGTGTTGTCGCTGGCAAGGGTGCCGGAGTTGGTGTGCTCGATGCGCTCCCGCTGCCTGACGCCCACCACGCCATATTCGATGCTCCCTGAGACCAATATCCGGTCCATGCATTCGCCATTGCGTATGGGGGTATCTAACAATTGGGGCACTGTCTGAACACTCAAGGCAAAGGAATTTAAGGAAACGTAAAGGCACAACAAAAGTCCAAAATCTTGCAGCATCATAAGAATCATCGGAGCTCATGTGTGTCTTTTACTGCGAAGAATGCTGTTTGGGGCGTCGCAGTCGGTGTCGGCGCTGAGCCATTAGAAGATTTGCAGTCCTTGCCGAAAGGGATGTCCAGGAGGAGCTTTCGTGGTGCTGTCGTGGATGCTCTTTTAGATGAGCGAAAGTCTGGCTCTTCCTTGGGGAGTGATGCCTGCAGCTCTCTGGTACTGCGAGATGAGCGTATTGGCTGTTGAAGGCGGTGTCATCAGCTGCTCGAACGCAATGCATGTGAACCAATATCTGTTGCGAGATACACAATAAGCTTTTGCATTCGCATCCTTGAGCACCTCGTCCTCTTCAGTGGCTGCCCGAGCTGTTTCATAGGATCCGCCAAGATGCTTGCGAAGTGATCCCCGCATGCACGGCCTCCCACGACGATGCCTGCCAGGTTCTTGGCGCTCCTTGTGGTGTTGAAGATCACCCTGGTCAGGTTGTGTTCGTCGATGTCTGATCCGGACATCTCGTGGCCGAGGGCATAGAAGATATTGCATCCAAAGGCTGCCACTCCACGCGCGTTCATCGGGCCCATATTTCGCTCTTTCAACATGTTGAATAACGCTCCCACATCTGTTGCATGCGACCAGAATAAGATCTTTTCTTGCCGAGTTGGTAGAGGAGGATTTTGCAGGGTGAGGTCTGAAGATTGCAAGAAATAGAATCTTCTCATTGTCTCTGGAGTTGGGTCGCCTCCTCTGTCCCACGTGAGGTCATGCTCCAAGAGAACTCCCTGGTCGATCCTGAACTCCGCTGCAGCGCAAAGTGCATCCACGTACTGCTTGGTGGAATCGTGTATGGGAAACTGTGGAATCTCAATGTCCTTCCAGTTGACCTTGAACTGCCTGAGGTTCTTGTGGAATGTAATAGTTGAAGGCATCCGCGGAGTTTCATACAGCTTGAGGTCGATCTTGGGTCGCTGCGACTGTGTCTTTGGTG